GGTATAAATAGTAAGGGGGGCAGGGGCTGTCACACACCTGGGCACAAGGGCAGGAGGCTGGGGGTATTGCTGCTGCTGGGGTGGGGGGCTAGGTCCTGTCACCCCCTCCCCGCCTGCAGGGCCCAAAGCAAGGCACTAATGAAGGGGGTTCGGGGGCATATTGGCCCGCTGACCTGGCCTGCGCCACCCAATCCCGGGCTCAGCCCTGAGCCCCAGGCGTGAGCCCCCCCTCTCGACAGGACGACGACCCAGGACCGGGAAGCCCCCTCCTCACCGGCTCCGCCATCCTTAGCTGTTGCTGGACATGAGGCTGATGATCTGCTCCAGCTTCTGGCGCAGCTTATGCTTCCGACACGAGGCGTCTCTGTCCAGGGCGGTGAGAACCTGCGGGAGGGAGGGAGGCCGGAGCTGGGTTCGCAGTGGGAGGTGGTTTCCTCCCAGGCAAAGCCTCTGCCCCGGAGGTCTTGAGCTCTTCCCTCTCTCCAGCCTCAGCGTATCCCTCCTCCCCTGCAGCCCTCAGGGCCCTAGGCGCCTGGGAAAGGCTCCAATCTCTCACCTCTGAACACACCTCCCGTCTCCTCCACCCCAGATCCGCCTCCAGCTGCAGAACTTTCTCCTCCTCTTCTCTCTCCACAGCCAGAATGCGGCCCTCCCACGAGTGGTCTGGACTCACCATCCCCTCCCAATTCCTTCCCCCCGAAAAAACCTCTCTTGTCCAGGTCTCCACCATCTTGTCACCAAACCCAGCCAGCGTTCTCAGGCTCCTTGACCATCAGCAGCACCTGACAGCTGAGCGCTCTCTCCTCCCTGAGCCTCCTCTGTGGGGCCGGGGTTCCTCACACATGTTCCAGGATCAGCTCTCTACTCTTGGGGTCCGTCCCACCTGCTGGCCACCCCCTCTTCTGTCTCCGCTACCGGCTCCCTTTCTTCTCTGCCACCTCTGGGTGTCCCAGGGCCCCAGGGCTCAGTGCTCGGGCCGCCTCTCCCTCTGCACCCACTCCCGGCCGCCCTGGCTGAGCTCATCCAGGCTCAGGGCCTTTAGGGCCATGTCCTGGCTCACAAATCCGTATCTTCAGCCAACAATACATCCTGAGGTCCACACCTCTATGCCCCTTGCCTCCTGCCACCTCCAGTCACAAATCCCACAAGCCCTAGAAAGGGCTGTCCATGCCTACCTTCTGGCCCCACCCCCCTCAGCCTGTCCCTCCCAATGCCCCTGGCCCTCAACTCTTGCCCAACCAGAACTGTGTACTCTAGCCAGTGGCTTCTCTTCTGGGTCCTTTAAATCCCAGCATCGAGGCGAGTGTCATGTGTGCTGGCCTAGCGGCCTGCTTGGGAGAGTGATCATGAGCAATCTAACAGATGGGCTCCTGCCTGGCCGGTGTGGCTCAGTGGTTGAGCATCCACCTATGAACCAGGAGGTCCTGGGTTTGATTCCTGGTCAGGGCACATGCCTGGGTTGCAGGCTCCATCCCCAGTGGGGGGCGTGCAGGAGGCAGCCAATCAGTGATTCTCTCTCATCTTTGAAGTTTCTATTTCTCCCTCTCCCTTCCTGTCTGAAATCAATAAAAATATATTAAAATAAATAAAAGATGGGCTCCCTATCCCCTCTGTCCCCTCCACGTCCTGTGGCATTCCTCGACTCCCACCAAGACCCCTGCTCTGTCACTCCGGGAGCAGCACACACCTCCTGGTGGTACTTGGTGACATAGAAGTAGAGCTCACTGAGCGCGCTTAGGACACTGAAGTCGCTGGCATGGAGGCGGGACTGCTCCACCAGGTAGGCGTCCATGTCCTGGTCACTGATGGATGCCATCTTGGCAATGTCCCGGTAGTACCTGTTGGGACCCTGAGGTCACACACATGGGCAGGTGGCACAAAAGTTAAAGTCCCTGCCCTGGCTGCCAGGCCAGCCTCTGGGCCTTTGTCCTATAGTTGGCCCACCTCAGAGAAGCCAGCCCACAGAGGGGCAGCTCCTGCCCCCCTCCACCCACGGCAGCTCCGCCGGGACTGCCTGGTTCCACCCCGCCCACAACCTGGGGCCACAGGGCAGGGCCCACCTCTCCACCCAACTCTTGTAGTTCGGGATGTCCTTGGCATAGAGCAGCTTATTGGAGGGTGAGTCCTTGCCCAGGCGGTGCTCGGACGTGGAACAGGAGTCCATGAAGGTCTGGGCCACCACTGACAAGCAGGCGTCCGTGATGCTGCTCTTGTGGATGTCGAACACAAACTGCGGATTCTTGATCACATTCACCCAGAAGCGCAGGGGCAGGCTGCATGGACGGACACACACCCGCAGCTCCCTCGTCTCCCAGAAGCACCCTCCCAGTGCCCTTCCCTTCCATGGTTCCTGGCTGGCCAGCCCACGTCTTGCCCAGAGCAGCAAGAGTGACATGTTTAGGGTTAACAGCCTTTTCTTTAAGTTTCTGCCAGAGACGTAAAGAGTTACCACATGGCCCTGGCCGGTTTGGCTTAGTGGATAGAGCATTGGCCTGCGGACTGAAGGGTCCCGGGTTCGATTCCAGTCAAGGGCACATGCCTGGGTTGCAGGCTCGATCCCCAGTGTGGGGCGTGCAGGAAGCAGCCAATCAATGATTCTCTCTCAGCATTGATGTTTCTATCTCTCTCTCCCTCTCCCTTCATCTCTGAAATCAATAAAAAATATATATTTAAAAAATTTAAGAAATATATATATTTCTTTAAAAAAGAGCTACCAGCCAAAACCGGTTTGGCTCAGTGGATAGAGCATCGGCCTGCGGACTGAAAGGTCCCAGGTTCGATTCCGGTCAAGGGCATGTACCTTGGTTGCAGGCACATCCCTAGTGGGCGATGTGCAGGAGGCAGCTGATCGATGTTTCTAACTCTCTATCTCTCTCCCTTCCTCTCTGTAAAAAATCAATAAAATATATTTAAAAAAAAAAAGAGCTACCACATGAGCCGAGCTACCAGCATCTGTGCCCCACGCAAGGCCCTGAGGGCTAAGGGCCACTGCTGGGTACTGGCCCCACTAACCCCAACCAAATGCCCTACAGAGCCCACCTCCGAATGGCGCTCACTCGCCCTCTTTGCTTGCTGCCACCTTGGATGCTGGTCCTCTCCTGCCTGGACAGCCACTCCAGCTCCCACCAGTTGCCCCGACTAACTCTGTGGTCCCTGAGTCTTGGCAAAGCCAGCAGCCTCTTCTGACCATCCACCCCTAGAAGGGCCGGCAGCAGGAGGGCGCAGGGCAGTACCAGTTGCTCTTCCAGGTGTGGCGTACGTCAGGGTCACTGATCTGGCGCTGGTCGGCCTGCTCATCGAGGAAGTCGAACATGTACTTGATGGCCAGGGGCAGGGCCGAGCCCCGGTGCGCCGTGCTGAACACCGTCTCAAAGAGGTCATCCACAAACTTCTGCAGCGTGCCCTGCGGGGGACAGCAAACATACAGGCCGTGAGGGAGCCGGGTCAGGATGTCCCCGCAGCAGGACAGAGGGGGACAGAGGGGGACAGAGGCTTGGCAGTGAGAAGGCGGCACGGGGCCGGCCCGCACCTTGGTGGCCAGTAGCCGCGTCAGGTAGATCTCGGAGACCATCTTGCTGCCACGGTCCCCCTCGCGGTGGTCGGCGTGGTCGTGGTTCTTCACCAGGTGCCACAGCTTGGTGCCCGTCTCCTGGTCAGGCGTGATCATGGGCGCACGAGAGCGGAGGCTGTCGGGGCTGCTGGCCGTGCGAAGCAGGCTCTCTGGGGCAGAGGACCAGTTGGCCCTTTAGGCAGCGGGGCCCCACCAGCCACCACCGGGGCGCTTGCCGCACTCTCTCCTGGGGGCCCAGCAGGCTGAGGGGACCTGTATGCTCTTGCCGGCCCACCCACTACTAAGCTCTAAGGAACTGGAGACCTTCCAAGGCCAAAGCCCAGGGAGGCCACCAGAGCAAGCTGGCTGCTCCGACAGGGGCTCCCCGTGACCGCGGTTACAGCCTCATAGGGCACATGGAGGCCCCCACACAGGACACCTACCGTAGCGGCTGAGGGAGCGGGTGAAGGTGAAGGAGTTGGCCATGTTATAGGCGGACACTTGTTTGGGCACCAGTGCCACCAAGGAGCCATCTGTCACCTGGAGACCCCAGAGACAAAGGGGGCAGTAGAGGCGGTTGAGGAGCCCAGGGGCCCGGGTCACGCCCCCCCTCCCCCGTCCAGACCCTGCGGTGTGCGCAGAATAGCTCCCGAGGCTCCCTGATGAGGAAGGGAGCCAGGACCCTGCTCCTGTGTCATCAGGGCAGGGCCACAGCTCCCAGGTGGCCCTGGGGGTGAGCGGGGCCCCGGCCCCTCACCTGGTAGTGGGCCAGCGAGTTGACCCTCTTCCAGTCACACTCGATCTTGGTGGTGACATCCTCATCCTGGAGGATGATGCGGGCCATGCGGCCCTGGCGCCACTCTGCGGGCCACAGACAGCCCTTGAGGTCCTGCCCAGTGTCCCCCGAGACCCCGGGCCCACTCCACTCAGAGGACAGAGACCAGGAACGGAGGAGAGGGGAGGCCTCACCCAGGTCCATGTCCTCGGCCTTGGGACGCTGGGAGTAGGGGATGCCCTTGTACACGGCATCTAGCAGCTTGTCTTTGGCCTGGGTGATGCTGTCACAGTTGAGAACCTTCACGGGGACCTGAGCGCTGCCCTCACTCTCCGGGCACACGCAGTACAGGGTCTGCGGGAGAGGAGAAGCGCAGAGTGGGTCCTGGGCGAGGCTTCCCCCCCACACCCAGAGCCCCGCCCGCCAGGCCCCCCATTCACCAGCGTCTTGTAGTCAATCTGCTGCCGAATGAGTTTATCTTCACTCAGGGAGTAGCGCGCCTCGCCCGTGATGGCGTCGATGGGGCCCTTCTCCATCTGCTGCTTGATGGCGCAGTAGAGCAGGAAGAGCGGTTCCCCCGCGCACTCCTGCAGCGAGAGGCGGGCACATGGCTGCCTGTCCCATGGCCAGCTGCCTCCCCACCTCCCCGGCCCGCAGCCCTCCCGCCCAGTGCACCTTCAGAAACTTATGCAGCAGGAACGTGAACCAGTTGGTAAGCATCTTCTCAGCCACTGACTCCGTCCTAGGGCGCAAAGGTTACTGGGGCCCTAGCCGGGCAGGGGAGGGGGCAGTTAAGGGGCCAGGCTGGCGGAGGGTAGGGCTGGGGTTGGGACATACCTGCGCAGCAACAGCTTTGGATGGTTCTTGCTCTCAAGGTTTTTCTCGATGAGGTCTGCCAGCAGTTGCTTGAGCAGCCCTGTGGCGTAATCGAGGCGGCTCTGGAGGGCCACCATGGTGAGCGAAGCCACGGTGCCGCGGTCCCGCATAGAGAAGCTACTCTGGGCCTCCAATGTGTGAATGAAGGTGAGCACGAAGGCGCGGCTGTGCAGCAGCTGCCCGAACAGGCGCAGAGCCTTCTCGACATTAGGGGGCGTCTGTGAGGGACAGGGGGCGTCAGATGGTGGCACAGTGGCCCTGGGGATGGCAGGGCGCAGGCAGGCCAGGTAGGGGCTCACATCCAGCTCCTTGAGCACCGGGTGGGCCTCGATGCCTGGGAAGAGCACGCGCACGGCATAGGTCCGGTAGTCCAGGAACGGGATCTGCACCACGTCCATGTGGTTCGTCAGCTCGTTGATGTCTGTCTGCAGCTCAGCAAAGGCTGGGAGGAGCAGGGAGGAAGAGTGAGCAGAGCAAGAGGAGGCCGGCGCCCCACACCCCCACCCCG